CGCCCCCGGGAGCCGCTCACCTTGCAGGAGGTGCCGAGGAGGCGGCCATCTCGCTTCCAGGTCAGGCTCTGCAGCTGGTCCCCGTGGGAGTCCAGGGCTGCGGGAGGACAGCAGGCTCAGGACCGGGACCAAGCAGGGCTCCTCCCGCCGCCGAGGCAGGCGTACGGGCAGGAGCCATCGCTCTCCCACCCGTGAGCACCAGGGCGCTTCCCAGGGGAAATCATCTGGTCTGTCCCAAGGGCCGGTGGCAGCCAGAGCAGGGGCCAGGACCCACCAGGACGCTGCCATGTCCATGCTGGGAGCATCCCCCCACCGCTGGCAGCTTGATCCGAAGGACAGGAGCCCTGGGAAAGCCACAGGGCCCTTACACCCCAGCGCTGCTGCCCAGCCTCCTCTCCCCATCGGGTTAGCTGACATCTGGGGCAAGGCTGGTCAGCAACAGCCCACAGCACCCAAACTTACCCACGCACTGGGACATGCAGGGAGAGGGACCTGTCCCCCCAGGGGGATCCCCAGCAAAGCTGCTACAGACACCCTGGGCAGTACAGGAGGCTTTTACACCGCTTTTACATCAGAGTGTAGGGGAGCCCATGCATACGCATGAGGGGCTGCGGTGCTCCCTGCCCAAAAAGCCACCTGTGCTGCCTGTTTGGTGACACCAAGGTCTGCACTTGAGCCCAGGCACCAGCACGGTGGAGATACGCGTCGCGGGCAGGAGCTGGCAGGCACGGCCATGCCTACCTGTCAGTGGCTGCTGCTGCCCCACGTCCCAGACGGTGACTCGCTTCCCTGCGCCGCTGGCTAGGACACCGTCTGCTGTGGGGGGGAACTGCCGCCCGTCCACGGGGCCCCCCCCGGGCCCCAGGGTCAGCCCCGCGCCACCGGGCATGTCCTGGCCGCTCTCAGGTAGGCGCCACACCTTCACCTGCAGCCCCAGGGAGAGGTGGGTCAGTCCCCCAGACCTGGCTGGGTGCCAGCAGCGCTCGATCTGGGCTTGCTGCTTTTCCAGGCTTCGGTCCTTAAGGACACCAGGCGACCCCCTCATGGCAGCTCGATGGGATCAGAGCTGCCGGCATCCCAGGTGGGAGAGGGCTGTTCCCTGGCTGACACCATCTGCCCTGTCCCCCACAATCTGGGGACATCCCACACCACTCCCCAAGGCTGGCACCCTCCATCCCAGGCTCCTCGTATTCCCATCACTCCATCTCTGGCTCTACAGTGAATCCCAGAGACACGCCGGGGGACGCAGGGCTCCCTCTCGGCGCCCCCGGCACCGAGCACTCACTGTCTCATCCGCAGAGCCTGTAGCCAGCAGGAGCTGATCGAAGGGCGAGAAGTCAAAGTCCGTCACCACATCTGGAAGGAGAAGGGCAGAGGTTCGGCCTCACCTTACCCCGGCAGTCAGCGCGTCTTTGCTCTTCCCCAGCCCCAGCCCCTTTTCATACACACACGTGTGCAGGCAGCCGGGGTCAGATCCAGCCCCCACCAAAGCATTTTGGAGGAGTTCAGCTTTGCTGCGGGCGCCTCAGCCCCTCCACGCTGCCCATCAGGGTCTCACACCCCTTCTCAGGGGGTCAGGAGCCCTGAAGGGCAGCACTGCGCAACTGCATCTCCCCGTCTGACCCACCGCTGCCCAGGTTTGGCTCTCATTTCAGGACAGACAACCCCAGGAGGCGCAGGGAGAAGCACAAACAGCACAGGGGGGCCTGTGCCGGCCCAGCCGCCGGCGAGCGAGGCCGTGGCCAGCTGGGGCCGTGCTGGTAACAAGGCTCCCTTTGTAACGCC